GAAAACGAAAAGGAGTAGTTTCGGAGGACCGAAAAGCTTTTCTTCGAGCTTTTGAAACAACCACTCCCGTTTCGGCTTGCAAAATGAGAAGCAGATGGCAGTTTAGGAAATAATGTGCTTGATTGGGACCATTTCAATCGGTGCGGGAATTGCATCTACCTCGAAGCAACCGACCTCACTCCGGATTGCAAAATGAGGAACAGATGGCAATTCAGGAAATATGAGCTGTCACCTTGATTGGGACCAGTCCAATCGGTGAGGAATGATCTACCAACGATTTACGTCTAGCAAGTATCCGATTATATGTTTCCAAAGTTATTCATATTCGTGATAACAATTGGCACCCCTCACACGACACTTAGGATGTGTCTGATAATAACAAAATACTTTCCGATAACCCCAATGTTCCATGAAAGATATGACCAGTGATCCGTGCTCCCCCTTCTCCGTCGTAAGATGGGGGTACCCCCAGGAGGCCCGTCGCGCGGCAAGAAGGCAGAGTCGGCGGACGAGTTGCAGCGCGTGGTGTGCGATGTAGGACGTGCAATGGGACACTCTATTTAACTTGACGCGAAATCCCTATAGTACGCGCGCGACTTTGCCTTCTTGCCGCGCGACGGGCCTCCTGGGGGGTACCCGTAAAATGGGCTACAGGTCTCGCAGTTTCTGATCACCAATGACTCACAGAGGCTTTCCGTGAGATTCTTCTCTTCCGGTACTCGAGCGGTCTCGTTCTCAATAGTTTTCAGTACATCGCAATCAAAATTGCTTCCACCCCATCGGTTCGCCCGCTGGATCCATTTCTTTGCCTCTGTCGCTCTCCTTTTCGTAATCAGAAATCCGAAGCTCTCAGGAAGGAGTCTAAAGCAATTTATAATAGAAAGGCTTTTTTTATCATTGCTGAGCAGAAAAGTAACGTGAGTAAATAAAACTAAATAAATAAAAATATAAAAATTGTTGAGACTTGTTTTTGGCCGCAGTTCCTCTTGCGAATGTTTTATAGTGCGGGTTCGACTCCCGTCTGGAGCGAAAGTTTTGTTCACAACCCCGCGTTCTTGTCAGAAATTTATTGTTTTCCATTCCCATTATTTGAAGACGAATATCAAATCGCCACGGGGAAATTGGGACTTTCAGCAAGGTGATAAGCTTCTTTCACTTCTCGATGTCGAAGCGCCCTATCGATACTGTGACAGAAGGAGTAATCAAAAAAGGAACCAACAACCTTCTGGCAAGGCCTATCCCAATTTTGACGGTATGCTGATTTGACCACTCGTCACTGGTGTACCTTCGGCTCAAGGCTTTCCCAAATGTACGCCAGACACAATACGGCGAGCGATGTGCGCGCCGCACGTCCCCCCCCCCCACCAACCCGCTTTAACAGCGAGAATTTGCCTCTACTCTGTTCTACTTGGCTCGCCGGCTTTGAGAAGGTTTCCATCAATCTTTTCCCCTGCGACAATACCAACTCTCCATTACGGATTCTGCGCCTCGCTCTTCACTAGGCTCTTTCGCCACTTGGTCTGTTACTTCGCCGCGCGCGCCGTATCTGCAGACTGTCTTTTCAAAATTTTGCTCGCATTTTTGGTTGTGGGCCCCCATGATGGCTGTACTTTCGTGTTTCTTCGGCAAATCACAATTACTAGAATTTGCCTTGATCTGAAGCGCTGACTGCTTTGTTGCGCACTGCGCCTTTACCCATTAAAAATGGAAATTCGTCAAAAATCCGAATCTTTTGGTACGCTGCCACCTCTATCCATGAAGAACTCAATAGCATAACAACACCGAAGAGTAGAGTTGGAAATGAGGTGGTGAATTGAACTGCACGCCATGATTCGAATTGTATCGCTATAGGAGTGATCAAACAATAGCCTAAAAACTGAAAGTAAGGCACATCAAACTGTTGCGTTTTCGAAAAATAATAGAAAATTAATGGAAAAAATGCTATTCATTCATAAGTGGATTAAATTGAATTAGATCGCTTTTCAAAATCTTTCTGAATTATTGAGTATAATACAATCAAAAGTACCATATTCAACAACTCGCATCATTGAAGACTACGACCCTGAAAAATACTTTCAGCGCTATCGCAATATACGGGGGCATGGTGATGGCAGTGCATTTAAAGCCGCATGAAACGTGTCTTCTTTGTAAACACGCACAAGCTTCGCGGCGTGTGAAGAACTATAAGGACCGGGTGAACGAGTTGCATCTCACTTAGAGCTCCTGTCGCCTAAATGGCCTAATGTCCTAGAGGATTGCCCGCCATCATACAGTGGCGGATAGCGCCAATACTTCTGATTTATTTTTAGTAGCAAAAGGTGTCCTCTATCAAACCAACATCCCGTGTCGTGTTACCTTATATGTATCCGTTTATTTATTTTCTCACATCATCATTACTTATTATTATTTATGGAAATTCCACTGGTGGTGTTGAGGCAGGGGCAGTCTACCCTCTTGGGGAGAAAAAGTAACTTTTTCTTGGCCACCGTCACTTGTGATGAGTGGTCTGCGCTCGACGCTCTTCCCGTCTTCCGAAATAGAGGACACTTCTTCTTGAATTTATCAGGAGCATTCAGAAGATACAATGTGTGCCAATAATGCCATCGGAACCAATTCATGAGTATTTTTCGCTCCATTAATTCCTTTATCATGGATATTCATTGCTATTTGTTCAATATTACTGTACCTCATTATTATAGAAAATATAAAGAATGTAGACACACATGAAACACGAGCCAATATAAAAAAAATTGAAAAGTGACTTGGATGCGTAGTAAAAAAAAAAAAACGAATAGGAAACAGGACCTGCTACCCAGAATACACCGAAAAGTACAGACGCATACGAATGGCCTTTGAACGCGATCGATTCGCAACACATCACCCAATTGATCATCGTTATTGACTGGAATATTTTATAGTAATGTCCAATTTGTTGAAAGTGACAGAAAGCATCAATCAAAGTCTGAGCTCTATGAGAAAATGGCAAACTATTACAGAGCTCATTGCAAAGATCCTAACGAAATTCCGTACGATTTACTTAGTTAGATGATCAAAAACGCTTAAAAAAGTCAGAGAACGACCACGCTTCGTACATTCCTGAAAATTTGCTGGGTACAGTGCATACTACATATCCTCTCTTTCAAAAAACGAGAAGAGCGTCGGGTGCAGACCATACACCACAAGTGACGACGGCCTCCACAAAATGTAAATGTTTTCTGCCAATGAAATGATTAGCCTGTTGCAGTTGTATTCTATCAGTTGTCACTAATTACAACTATCATTTACCAAAAATCAGCTATCACTATGAACCACTACTAACCAGATTTACTTGGAGGCCGTCGTCACTTGTGGTGTATGGTCTGCACCCGACGCTCTTCTCGTTTTTTGAAAGAAATGGGACACGCGCGACGAAATAAGTTGGCTGTGAAAACCGAGTTTCAACAACTTATTCGCAAAGACTGATCCTGTCAGGACTGAGAAAAAAGGGGGAACCGATACTGCAGCAGCGGAACAAAAGGCTTCTTAGCCCCTTTTTATAGTGCAGTACTTCTTGTGTCTCAACGGGACGCGAATGATTGATAGGTATGGGGCATGACGATCATTAGACCTCTTATGTAGTGTAGATCTATAGACTGGGACGTAAGTAACTAATGAAGACTGCAATGTTTCAGCAATTGCTGCAGTCCCGCTGGTTCAATGGAACCATGGACGCCATGGGCTTAAAGGCAGAAAGCAGGGTTTCAAAACAGGATTCCAAATTTTGCAGGATGCGAACGTGTGACCGTTACGGTATGCTGCAGCGACTGGACGAATCAACTCTGATATATCTTCGTCTTCAATATGGGATTTCAAGTGACCCGACATGTGTGCGCGTGGATCCTGCCCGATGGGCCGCGACATGGGTGATGGGCGGCAGCTGCAAACAGAGCTGAACGCTTGGTGTTCAATGTGCATTTGCCGGGCTAAGTGACAATGTCCAAGGGATGCGGGTGACGTCCGTCGAGGGGACTCGTTCTATACACGTTTTAACGCAAAAGTCCGCTTGAAATTCAACAAGTTATTACGGTGCTTACTGACATTGAAGAATGATCCCTGAATGAATCGACAGAAAAGCATCAGATAGAAGTTGGAGGCGAACGCAGCCAGTACCCCAGCCAGTCCTGACACGAGAAACTCCACACCAGCACAGGACGGCGACCAATCCTGAAAGTGTTTGCTGTCTGGAAAACTTCTGAGAAAATCTGTTAAATCTTCAAGAACTCACCGATCAGCAGCCATGCAGTACATTTGACCGAGCACCAGATTACCAAGAAAGTACACAGATGAAGTCATTTCAGCCGGATCAACAATGGTTCGCTTTAGTTGGAACTGAACAGGAGAAGCTGAATTGATGCACAAATCAAGGCCGATGTCAGACTTTGCGAGATCGAGGCGACTCGCTAGCAGTACGGCGGGCGGCGTCGGCGCTTAGCGAATCGCTCTAATTGATTGGTACGGCGCAACGCTGGCCCCAACGTCAAGCGCTCGGCTGATTTGAGCAAAGTTTGGACCCCTCCGGCCCAATCTGGAACACAGGAGTCAGCCGATGCAAGCCTGTGCTTTTTGTGCGAGTTTCCCTTTGCAATCTTACGGTTCACTATCCAGTCATTGCCAACTGTATTAACTCCGCCCCTTGTATCAATTAAGGCTCGTCCCAGGATCAAGACTAGCGCGAATAAAAATGAAAGTTTGGTGCGAAGTAGGGCGCAGTAGAAAAAGGAGAACAATTCGTAGAAAACGCTAATGTTAAGGGTTTCCTCATTTTTACGCCAGGGCAATGAGAAACTGGGCGCAAAGGAGAGAGGATAGTGGAGAAGAAATAACGACGGATGTCAATGCTGCGAGGCGCAAGAACGGAAAGCGGTTGAAGCGTTTTTCTGCAAAGGTTCTGGCGGACCCCTTCTCGACGCTAGTTCTAGAGCCAGCGAGATCGAGCCCTTATACGATAAGAAACAGCTCTGTTCTACTCACTCGAAGATTATCCACATGAATTCATCATGAACTGTGCTTAAACTGCTGGCAAAACTTGCTATGGTCAAGGAGGTAGGTCAAAACTGTGTTTTCTCCAGGGTTGCTTTGTTGGAGTGGAAAGCATGGTGCATCCAATGAGTGCAGCCTATGGCGTCTTAGCACTGAGATTGAGCATCAACCGTCCGTTTAATCGAACCAGCAGTGGATCGTATTCGTGTTTTTGGAGAGAGTTCAATTTTGGCGCAATCGCAATATAGGGGGGCATCCTCTAGGACTAGCCTCAAGAGGAGCAGAGATCCCGAAAATGAAAATAGCTCACACATCCTGGAGCCTCTCTACCCCCCCCCCCCTGAGACTTAGTCTCATTTTTAATAAAAATGACATGTTTGAATGCACTGCTACCACAATGCCCCCCATCTTGTGATAGCACCGAAATTTTCAATTTAAAACCTCATGAAATTTCAAATTTCCGCATTCCAATCTCCATATAGTATCCTCTCCAAGCTGCCTGCGATCCAATTTTTTACACGTTTTGAGGCGCAGGGCGCATATCGTGCGCCTTTGTCTGGTAGTGGGAGTGGTAAATAGTTGCCGCGTCACTCGTCACATTGACCTACTGAGTGTTCACCTCGCTTGAGTTATTCTCAAGCGATGAAAACCTCGATCGCCGGCAATGCGCTATTGTTAGCCGATGTCAGACTTTGCGAATCGCGCGATTCGCTAGCGTCCGCGGTCGCGTCGCGGTACCAGCCAATTGAGTGATTCGCTGGTACGCGACGCGACCGCGGACGCTAGCGGATCGTTCGATTCGCAAAGTCTGACATCGGCCGGGACATTACCAGAGCAGCACCAAAATATTTTCAAGTGAGAAAAAAGCCAATAAAGAAGCTTTGCAGTGCTCAAGTTGAAAAGTTCATGAAAAGTTCATTTTTTGGTCTATTGCACCAATCTTTTCCGACGTCACCACCCCAGAGGCAGAGGCTGTTGGTGACAAGCGCGAGGCTACCACACACATGACAAGCGCGAGGCTACCACACACAAAGTCGGATTTCGGTTTAAATGTCACCCACAATAACCAAGCCCTTCATGTCATCTCGGTAGGTGAATGGGTACAACTCTATCCTCAGAGCATCAGAATTCGTTTCATGGTGATCAGCGTTAGAGAATTCCTCAGAGGATGTGCCGCACATGCGACACCCACTGTAAATTCCAGCATAGCAATATTTACAAACGCTCACGAAGAATTAATCAATATTCATCTTTTTATACTCTTTGAGCTGAACTTGAATCAACCGAAAACGTGGGGTCTAAAATAGGCCGACTGGGCGGCTCGTATCCCGGTGCTAATTTAATTGAAGGGAGACCACGCTGGTGGCGCCGCGCTCTGTCCGTCTGCACCTCTTGGGCTTACCATTAGTCATATAGGCCGTTACTATTTATTTCGTACCTATACTTGCTAATTACTTAGACTTATGCTTACTTTTTCGCCACTGTATTGCAATAAAAATAAAATTACTGATTTTGTATATCATTAAACTGTTTCGTTTGTAAAACCGAAAACAAAACAGCCGCGGAGGAGCGAAATAGTAATGGTTCCTGTGACTAAGCCTTTGAGAAGCAGACGAATAGAGCGCCGCACCTCCTCGTGATCCCCCCCCCCCAACTAAGTTAGCGCCCTCATCCTTCGAGAATAGCGCGGCGTCTTTTAGGCACAGCGCTAATTTCGGCAAAAGCACTATCGAAGAAATAAAGAATGATTGCCAAGTATTCATCAAAGCATAATTGAAGCAGTACCTCGTCCTGCACGGTAATGAAGGTGCAGTTCTGAAGGCAGGGTGTCGGTGGCGACATGTAGGCTGGCGACAGTGTAGGCATCGCAGACAAGCACCAGAGAAACGCCATTGATAGCGTGATGAAGACCGAATGCGGATTGAGTCTGAAAACTTACAGTAAACCTGAAGATATCACGTTTTCTTCAGCAGCTTCTCTTTTATCCTGCCGAAGTAATCATTTTTTCATAGCTGCTTAGGTAATTAATAATTCATATACGAAGTTATACGAGTTCCACTTTTCTTATGTAATACACTTTACTTCTTGTTTTGTTTTATTCTATTTAGAATATCTATTTCAGCTCCATTCAACATTTGTAATTTTGTCTATATTGCTCTATCCAATATTATTTTGATAACACTTCATCTTTGTATTTGGGGTTTGGGGTTTGGGAATCAAAGTTATAGTCTAGTCTCCGTTTCGCACGTGCCCTTAGACGGAGCTAGACGAATTTCTATAACCTTCCTCTGTGCTCATCAGTAAGGGAAGGAAGGAAAAGTGTTCAGATTCAGACTGTTTATCTTTGTATTTTTGGAAAAGGTTTTTACATCATAAAACTTCAATGGAAAACTTTTTAATACAAACGTTTTGCATAATTAATTAAATAATGTAATGTTGTGTTTTGTCCATTTTCTATTACAGATCTAAGTTTACTATGTCCATATGTGTCCTAATTCGATAAGATGCTTTTTGGTATGCTTCAATCTTTTTTACAAATTCTTTTATGGTTGAATTTGTTTTAGTAATTCTAAGTATTTAAGTATGAATTGTATTATGTTTGTTTGTTTACTATATGACACATATTTGTTGTTACATTAAAATCTTTTGAAGATTTGAAATAATATGTTTAGTTATACATTTTGTTCTTAAAATCCTATTCTTTATTCCAATTTCCAGATTTATATAATTACAGTCATTTATTAAGTAGTAACTAACCTTCTTATTCTTCTTGTTGTGGTCCTTAAATCGATATTATATATATAACATATAATATACTAGTGCATACCATTGATTCAACCATTTGAAAGTTAGTGTAGGTAAAAATGAGTATATCCCGGATATGACTTGTTTATCTTTGTATAATCAGGTTTTATCATTTCCCTTCCTTGAGTGATTCTTATTGATCATGCTCAATTCATTTTATTTGTTTTATAAGTGTAAGGAGGTCTATTCGACCTTCCTTTTTTATCATATGGATGCAATGGACCCCAAGGTAAGTAATTATTTATATTTATAACTTCATTAACGTAAGCAAATGACTTTTATTTTACTTGACATATTTTAAATAATCTTTCTCATTTATTTATGTTTATATTTTATTTAATATAAGTTAATTAACTTTACTTAACGCATCAAAAAATTTTTAAAAATTGAGTTATATTTTAAACTATTTTCTAAGTTCCAATATAAGTTTATTTGACTTGATTCCGAATTTGAATATAATAAAGTCATTTTTATTTAAACAAGTCTATCAAACTAATAGTGAATATGTCTATATTGTATCCTAAATCGATAAGTTGCTCTTTAGTATGCTTTAGTCTTTCTGTAAAGTCCTTTGTGGTTGAACTTGTTCTAGCAATTCTAAGTATTTCAGTATAAATTGTATTATGTTTAATACGATATGATATGTTTGTTGTGTTACATTAGGAAATCTCTTTATTGAAAAGTTAAAATAATCCGTTTTGTTATACATTTTCGTCCTTAACCTATTGTTTTCAATTCTAATTTCTAAATCTAGATAATTACAGTTATATTCGTTTTTATGTGTAGTTTCTAGTTTCAATATACTTTTATATATCTGATTGAGTTTGTCTAACATTGCTTTTGTGTTTGTATTATGTACTATTAATATATCGTCCATATATCTAAAAGGTTTTATAAGAAATTGCTTAGTATTTTGATGTTGCTTGGAAAATACATATTCAAAGTAGGATAATGTAAGATCCTGCTGAAAAGGACAATGAAGAACATATACCTTCAGAAACTCTCCTTCACGACCCAGATCAAAGAGCATTTCAGGTAAAGGAAGAGATGAGCTACCGACGCAATTATGCGCCAGGCTGTTCTGTAGAATCTGTCGGCCTCGAACAGGACTTGCGGCACGTATTAAAAGTTTGTCCAAATAACCGCATTCGATACGCCTCCACACTATCGAGAGCATCCGCAGCCTTCTCTCATTGCAGTTGGCTCGTGGGAGGGGGGTCCTTCAAGATGAGATGGTACCCCTCTAATTCTTCAAACTCCGATCTTATCGTGGAATCTTCTTCGAGAAAGGAACACTTACAGCCCCCCCGATCTCCGAAAGAATTTCGTCCGTGGTGGTGAAGTGGAGCATTTTCGGCGGCTTCTCGTCGTTAGCGTTCCGTTCGGCATCGCCATTCGGAATGACCTACGAAAGTTCAAAGGTTCTTTTTGTTTTGAAAGCTCAAAAAAATTGGAACTCCGTTTTTACAGATAAGAAATCATGAAAGCTGGGGAGTTGGTCAGTTGTCTTGGCATGCGCCACGCATTTGACATCCATTCACAATAGAAATGTTAGAACAAATGGAATGAGAGCCAGTGCTCATAAAAATAGGACCAACTCGCAGAAGGAAAAAATGAAAGTGAAAAGAAAACAAAACCCTAGAATAAAAAGTAGACTAAGTACTACAAGATGACATCGTAACTGGGAACATGTGAGCGACTGATTGCAACCAGCCGTGGTTGATGGAGCTATGAACAAACAAGCACAGCCAATACCGTCGCGGGACAATGGAGGACTTCTTCATTCAGCGGGGGAAAAATCCCTGTTCACAAAGCTTGTCATCGCGGTTTCCTTAGTTTTAGAAAATATGTTTCAGTCAACTGGCAATCAAAGAATTTTATTATGCACCGCTGTTATCCCACTAATAGTATACATCTGGGATGGACCTCTTCACATCACATTTGTGGTAAAAAAGCCAGCATCCTGGAAACGAGTGCTACAGTGATTCCGATCACAAGCCATCACGGAATTTCTGCTAGAACGCTCCTTCCTTCCACCCTTATTCCGCAAAAAGTACAACGAATGGAAAGAAGGGGATGGCAGAGAGGAAGAAAAGAAAGAAGGAAAGAAATGGAAAAAAGAAAAAGAAAGAAAGTGAAAAGAAGAGAAGGGAGAGCGCAAGCGAAGAAATAAGAAAAGACAATAATCATGACATTTTTTAGAAGTTCTGAGGAAATTCCTGAACCTTATTGAAAAACCATCTGAGGCCTGCAAAACCTTTGCGTATCTGAAAGGAACCTGGCAAAGTGACAAATAAAGTGAGGCCGAATGAAGATAGAAAATCAAGCAGAAATAATGAAACATTCTCAAGGGTCATTATTATCAAGTCTTGAAAATTTTTTATAATACCTTTTCTGCCATACAAGCACCGGCTGTGGTGGCAATCAGTCGCGCCTGTTCTTCTTCCACCCTGAAACAAATGCATGATAACATTCGAAAATGAAAAGCGTAGAGAGTTTGATCGGCTCAGCTGCAGCGATCAAAAAGCGGATAATGGCAGGTGATCAGCCGTGGCTGTCCGACCGACCAGGCACTTTCGGCAACTTGATTAATGTATAGTCGGCCTTTTAGCAGCTACATTTGTCCCATAATATTGAAACGCACTGACGTGCATGTACATGGGATTGGCAAAATTCGCCCAAATAATCCTCCGAGCAAACTTCAGCAGGATTCTGGTGATGAATCATGACAAGGCTTGTAGAGGGAAGCGACATCCTGCGGATACTCCATTTGTGAATTACTATTCGATTTCGGAACAACGATCGAATTTTGTCACCGGCATATTCCACTTCCCTGCCCGCGATAATCGCTGTGTTGAACAGCGCCAATTAGGAGAAGCGATGGATTATATCGACTACAACTACACCTGAACCGGTGAAAAAATGGTAAATGACGCAGTCACTATACAAAGATCACATTCGGGAACATATTTCGCCCAGGCCAGTCTCCTCATCACTTCAGGGCCGATATGAGTTCGCATCTGACTTTGAGGGATCAAAACAGGGTACGTGTCGGCCATCACAAAGATAGCGATTACGATATTTCATGAAGATCAAATATGGAATTAGATCTGCAAAATGGTGCGGCAGTGAAGAAGATAAGTGAATAAATCGTCAGAAACCCGAAAACTGGGACCCCCGCTCTTCCCGGTTGAGGATCGGGCTTTCGTACCACTTTGGTGGAGGCTCAACATTCAGTGATTTGAGATTTTTTCCAGAGGTCATTCCTCCATT